AAACACGGCTTGTATCACCGTGAGGCCTCAGAGGAGCGCATGTGAGCGCAGAAGTCGGCTGCATACAATTCCATCGATAAGGTCCTTTCTCTTCCTGGTTTATCTGCTAAGGACAGCAACATACATATAACACCATGGTGGTTGCTAGTGCCCTGGAACCTCTGCTAGGTCCAGAGTCAGGGAGAGGGCCCGTGCATTTGCTGTTCCCTTTCGGGGGACAGTCATTTTGTATACACTTCTCTGGTGGAAAACCAAGCTCAGCTCAGAACCAGGACCAGTCCAGGACTAGTCCAGGACCAGCACAATGAAATAAGGCTTCAACTGACATAGAATGCAAGTGAACTGAAAATGGCAACATTAGAATTTAACATTTAAATGAATGGAGTACTCACATTGCAAAAATAAAAGTTAATTTCATAACACAATGACAATAAACTACATATAGCTACAGAAAAATTCAAAGTAATGAAGACCAAGAATTTACATATACGCCAAGTAATTATCAAAAGGCGTCAAATTGACTGCTCTGGGAGTTCTAGTGTTATTTGCGCAACCCCAATTAAAAGTAGGAAGCCTTCAGCAAGATTGTTTACCAACTAAATGAGTTTAATATGAGTCGATAACTGAATGTAGACAGTATTTATAGTGTTATTGAATCAACTGTACCATAAGTATAATAAAACTAACTGTCCTCATTTCATCTCTTTGGTCACAAATCAAAATCTTTCAACCTCATTTCATACATTCCTTTATCTTTTTTTTCCTGTAAATCTTTTCTAAATTGAACAATGTCTCTCAGGTGAGTTTCAGCTTCACTCATGAGGTGTGTTTTATTGTTTACATTTGTCACAGTTCTACCATCATGATATTCTGTATGTTTGTTCTGTGTATATACATGTATGTGACTTTATTTTTGTTGCACAACTCTGGAGAATTTCAAAGAGCAAATGCAGCAAATATGTGAAATACATGTAGTATACAGACATACACATACATACATACACACATATGTGTCTTGTACTCAGTTACGTCTCTAAATAGTCTTTGTGTAACTTTTTACTGTAAATGGCTGTACAGATCGTGTGTATACAGTATATATTATATACATACTGTATATATATGTATATGTGTATATATGTATATGTGTATATATATATATATATATATATATATATATATATATATATATATATATATATATATATGTATAGGTCGTGTATAGTGTGTTCATAGTCGTGCTCAAGTGTCACCGAGATCTGACTTTTTTACAGTGAAAACACAAAGAGAGAAAACACGACTAAACCATGTGACTGTTGTTCATAAACAATGTTGTTAAGACTTATTCTGAGACACAGACTGTTTCATTGACCTGAAGACTTGCTTTTGAGGAATTCACTTTTCATTTTGAGAAAGTGATGCACTTTTGAAGGTTTTCCACAAGGTTTTGCAGTTTGTACTAATTGTTCTGAGAAATGCACAAACTCTCGTGCAAAAGTGAAGAGGGATGTGAGAAATGCACCAAAGACACAAGAATAACTCTATACTGAAATAAAGTCAAATCCAACTTGAGCAAAATACAGAATCAAAAGTACTGAATATTCAAGTGCAGACATTTTTTTATAAGGCCTTTACAATGGTTGCATCCAAATCATAACAAATACTTTCTTCTTTGACCTTCTGAAAATCTGTTGAAATAAGACTGATTAAAATTTAGTCAACTTTAAAAATAGTCAACTTTTTAAAATTGACATGTTACCAACAATAGTAATAAAGTGTAGCAGAACAGGGAGGTCATTTCAGTAGTAGCCACAGTCGGTTAAACACTAAGATTGTGTTTATTCACTGAATATGAATGAGTTTTAACACCTCTGACTGTCGTTGATATGAATAGATGTGCGGTTACAGGTTTTTGCAGCAGCACACTTCCTGCTTCAGCTCCGAGGCACAGGGACCATTGTTGATTTCAAGTTTTATTTGATTCTTTCAGAGACACAGGAGAAAGGAAGTAGATTTGAAGAAGAGCTGGAGGATGAACTGCTGTGAGGGAAAAAACTGTAAGTTTCACATTGTTACTTTCCTTTCATTGTTTGTTCATTTGATAAAGAATAGTTTGACTGCGACAATCTTCATGATTTATTTCAAACCTGTGTATTCTTGTAAAGCCCTAAATCACAAGAGTACTTAACAAAACCATTGACATCGCCAGCACAGATCAGAGAATCAACAGTTACTGTAAGACACAAACAATATACAGTAGAACAGTGGTATTGGTCGACAGGAGGAGAGACCAGTGTCCATGAAGGTTGTAGAATGTTAAAGTGTCCTGGATCATCACCAATCCTTTCTGTTGGACACTAACTGTCCAACAGACTCCTGCATCCGAGGAAAAACTCTAAAACCCAGTGGGAGGAAAGTGAGAAACCTCGGGGCGATCCGCTCCGACACGGACGGACGGGCTGTAGATCCAGGACCTAAGCTACAGAACCAGGACCAATGCCACAGAGCAGTTTGCTTTACATGAGTGTAAATTTGCCAAAACAGATCAGAGATTCAAATAATATTCATTTTATCTATTGTTTATTTGGTTGGGACAGCACATGTTAATGAACACATCACTCCGAATTGTAGCCATGGGCTAATTTGTGTCCATGGTCCCACATTCGCACTCACAAACACACACTCATTCACCCTGAGCTATTGCACATGTTTTAGTGATAGGGGAAACCGGAGTACCCGGAGGAAACCTGCGCAAACACGGAGAGAACATGGAAACTCCACTCAGGCCCTGTTCCGACCGGGGTTCAAACCCAGAACCTTCTTGCTGAGAGGCGAGAGTGCTATCCACTCGCACGGTGGCTGAGTGGATAGCAAGATTTTGGTGAGGATCGGGAATGTTTAGGTCGGGAGCCTTCCATAGGTGGCGCTCTAGAGTCATATTAGGTGTGTATTTTCCCACTTTACGCTCAGGCCATGACCAACTGTCAGTGATGTGAGGTTCATCTCTGTAGGTCTGAGCCTGGGCCAAGAGAGGATCGAATATAAAGAAATTCCCCACCGCTTCGCATGAAAACAGTGAAGAATATCTAACTATTTCTTGAAAATTGTAATTCTCCAATCCGTCCAGATGGAGAATGACATGGTACAAGTCTGTGTGATAAAAACCTGGGTAAAAAACACAACACCTTGAACTGCCTGTAGGTGGCGCTGTTGTTGTGTTGCATATCGTTGTGTTCACAGTCATACGCTGTATTTGTGAACACATTTCTATCCTCATTGGACAAACACTGTGCTCAAAAAGCTCATTCAAACATTTCGTGTCGCCCCCAGTGGTCAGTTGTGGGACTGACAACATTTGCGTAAAGTAATGTTTGGCTCGTCTCGGTCCAGAGATTACACTCAGCGATTTTAGGGCCGATCCGAGCACTAGTGCCCTATTACTTTCCGACAGGTGGCGCTAAATGACGTGTAGAAGTTTGTGTGATGAAAATTGGGGGTAAAACTTCAGATCATCGTGGCCGTATGATAGAGAAATGATCTGTCGTTTACCTACTCTGAAATATGCATGTCTGGCTCCCATAGGCTTCGCTAATTTGACATTTCCAGGGGGCGCTATAGAGTCGCCGTTCGTAGGACAATCTTGAAACGTTCATTGTGTGAAACTTTTTGCCAAACCTTTGGCATCAGACCCCCGTGTGCAGACGTACGTGCATGTCTTCAGGGTCATTAAAAGTGCAGTGTTCCTGAAGCTCTGCTCTACAAAGAAATGGTTCACAGAGAAACATCGAAAAGTGCAGCTTTATAAATCATATTTTTATCAGATGCAAATGTAAAAGATAAACTACGTCCCTTTTACATAATTACAAACAATGTATTTTTCTTGGAAGTTGTTTTTATGGTTTATTATTCATTTGTTCATTCATTCATTTTCCACCCCTTTATGAACCATTTTCTGGGCGGGGGGTTGGCGATCAGAGCAGCAACCAATGTTCAAAGCACCAGTCCCTCTGACCCTCTGCAGGTGGGGGTCCACAGGAAGATGGCTGCTGCAGTAGTGGCTTTTCAGCGGGAGCTTCAGGCAATGTGGGGTTAAGTGTCTTGCCCAAGGACACAGCAACAGTAGACTGGAGTAGGTCCCGTGGTGGACTCAAACCCACAACCTTCAGGCCCAAAGGCAAAAACTCTACCATCTGAGCTACAGTCGCCCCACAGTTTATCATTCAGTATTATTGTTATATTTATATTATCAGTCAAGGCAAGTTTATTTGTTTAGCCCAGTTCACACACTGGTAGTAATGTGAGTGTGTGGGCAGGAGTCTGACCCCTGGAGGTAGCACTGGGTCTTACACTCTGACCAGTGAGTGTGTTTTTGATTTTTCTTTGAATCATTGTAGATTGTGGAGGCATATTAAGAAAATGGTCCTTTCTGGGATCATTTTCTATGGGTTTGATTTTGTTTTAGCTTGGATTGACCCAAAGCTAAAGAAGGCTGGCTATAATAAGTGTTAGTTTCATTGTTAGAGCAAAACATGAAAGGAAATGAAGCTGAAATGTGACAGATTCAGAGTCAGTCGTCAAAGTGATTCCTCAGAATTAAAAGACAAACTTTACCTTTTCCAAACTGCAGCAAAGCTCTGAGACAACTTCAATGCTGAAACGCCTAAAGTCGATGTTCTAAGTGCTTTCTGCGTCTGAATAAGGAGTTTTACTTGAATTCTGCTTAATCGCTTTGACCACATTCTCCTAATCTGTTTACGACATCTCCAGTTCGTCCACATCTTTGCTCAGAGCTGAATTCTTCTTCATGGAAAAGCCATATTATTCCTTCCATTTTGTTTTTTCCTCCCCATTCGTAGCTACATTTCTCCACTTCTTCTCCAGGCCTCTACTTCCAGTTCCCTGAATGTACTATGAATATCCTCCTTCTGTCAATCTTTCTGTCGATTTTGGGTTTGATTCCGTCGTTAAGACACGTTAGTTCTGTGTTATGTGGGAGCATTTCTTCACTTCCTGTCTGTGCTTTTTGTCCCACATGTCCTCTGGTAGAACAGGATGTATGCGCTCCTCTGTCGGTTCTTGCAGACGTCACTTCTGCTGCTCTTGAACACTTGGCTGTCGTTATAGCACAACCAGCCGTCGCCCTGGTTATTCAGGTCATGGTCCGGACTTCTGCCTTCAAAGATGTAATGTCCAGACTTTGCATTATCTCCGAGGTGAGAGATGACCCCGACCAGACTGAAACGAGCCGCAGTGTTTTCTGTGGACAGCACCAGAGCTTTGTCGATGCTCATGCCATCGTGCACTTTCTCCAGTCGGTAATCGCGTGTGTACCTGTACCGCTTCAGGTGAAGAACCAGGATGTTTGGGAGAGTTGAGAACATCGCTGACATGGTGGAAACTTGACCTTTACAGGTGCAGTTATACTCCAGCTGGGTCGGCTTCAGATAATTCTCCAGAAGTTTGTCGGTGGTAGTTTCAGCACAAAGGTCCAGAGAGAGGTTGGTGAAGTCCTCTCTCTTACGTGAGCCCTTTCCACACGTCTGGCAGATCCTTCTGCAGTCCAAACTGAACTCCAGCTCCTGCACTGGGCACTTGTAGGTCATGCCCAGGCTGGAAGCAACGTTCTGCAGCATTGGAGCCAAACTTTGAATTTGCTCGATCAACGCAGTGAAGAACTCATGGGCGTCGTGCTGTCCTGCCCCTTTAAATTCTGGAGATTTTGAGGCAACTGTGGCTTTGAATAAGCAAAGAAGAAATCTCTTTTGGCATATTTTCGGGGCTTCTCTGTTGGTCTGGAAATCATGAAGGCATTTCAATAGAGCGGCCTCTTTGCTCTGCTTCCAAATGCTCTTCTGAGAGTTGATTTTTCTCATGAATGGTGTTATAGTCAGCAGGCTCTGTACGCTGGCATTTATATAACAAGTGTTTCCCAGGTTTGGAAGTCCATAATGCAAGTTCAAGTTGGTTTTTTGAGGAACTGGTTTAGGGACTGTTGTGGTCTCTCTTTCTCCAGTTGTTTGTGTGAGTGGGGCTGGAGCAATTTTGTTTTTCCATGGCCTCCATTTGACGCGGGCCGTGGCTTCTTTTCCTGTATCTGGCGCTGTCGTTTGTGTGAGTGGAGCTGGAGCCACTTTGTTCCTCCGTAGCCTACATCCAGATATCCACTTTTTTGATAGAGGCTTGTCCTTTTTCTCCGAACCTCGAAACAGACTCCTCAGCCACGAAAAGCATCCGTTGTTGGTTGACTTGGAGTCCTCATCACGGGCCACACTTACAGGTGTGGACGCCTTTCTGACCCCTTGAATATCTGATCCCTGTGATTGTCCACGCGATAGCAAGACACTCAACAACATTTTTGATTGTGGAGTACTACTACTAACTCTACTAATACTACTACTACTATACAGTATATACAAACCGTGATTTCGAACAGTGGACTGAAGATATATATCACCCACAAGTCAGACCAGTCCTATCCATCTCTCCAAAGCTGATGATGGGATCTAGAACTTGTGACATCATTGTTACCATGGTGATTAGATAGGGAGCGTCGCCATGGTGACACACAGGGAGTCCCAGCAGCCATTTTGTGACTATAAGCCGGACTTCTGGCTGTGTGAAACATTTTGCGCACATAACTTGGTATAAAATAGAGGCCAGTGCAGTCATTTGTGTAAATAAACAGTTTTATAATTCAGAGAAAGGTCATCATTGGGATTCATTCATCGCAAACGAACTACCTTCACCTTCATCCTGTTTCTAGCGAGTGCGTGCACCGGAGCTATCAGATTTTCTAAAACCTAAAATGGCTGAACAGAAAATGCTAATTTGCGTGTTGCGGTGGATAGCGGCAGATTAACCTGCTGATGCGGCTCCAGATCCTCTTTCAGAGACGTCTCCGCTGCATTTCTCTTACATCGCGCTGTGGACATGTTTTAAACGCGTTGCTCCGTCACAGTTTATTGTCAAAGTTGTTCATTTGTGGGGAGTATAACCTGAACAACATTTCTAATGACTTAGTGAATGGCAAAAGCGTCCCACAACACTGACCTGATCAGCTGCAAGGTCTGCAAGTTAACCTGGAGCTGAGGTGGGACAGTGGTGTGTCCACTCACCAAAGGCGCTCACAATAGCGATGTATAAACTCGGGGCCAGGTCCAGAGCAACGTTAGCATTAGGACATGTTAAATAAGCAGTAGGGCACACAAAGAGTGTCATGAAATCGCCACGAAAGCAGCGCATTTCAAAGATGTAGCGGGGTGAGCGTACGCAGACACGCAGGTGGATCTAGCCCACTTTACAAATACAACATGTGTTTCACCGTCTGCTGTCGTCTTTCAGTGATAACCTCTTGCTGCTGTCATGTTTTACACACACGTTCGTCCTGTCACAGTTGCATGGTCATTATTAGTCACATTATTGCTCATTCATACAACCCGAACGTCATTTTCCTGGTTTGTGATAGCGATCACCTACAGCATTAATTCCACATGTAATTTGCTTTTCTAAATCAACATTTCTTATGACTGTAGTCTATGAGAACAGTGTGTGAGAGCAGGCGATGAGCATGTGTTTGTACATCGCTGTTGTGAGCATGTTTAGTGAATGAAAACAACCCAGCTCCAGGTTAAACTGCGCACCTTGCAGCTATTCAGATCAGTGTAGTGGGAAACAGTTCGCGAGACACAGACAGTATTTGGAACAGCAACAACACGTCTGACTTTACGTTGATTATATCTAATAGCAATCCTTCCTCAGAAACACTACGTGAAATATGTCTGTATTTCGAACTTTGGACATCCCGCAGAGGCAGAGGACTTTTATTGTGAAAAATATCTGAGCCACGCCCACTTTCAAGCATTTTGATCTATGAGTGAGTAGAACTCGTTCACCGTGTTCAAGCTAGTATGCGCGACCGAAGTTATCGTGTAAATGTAAGTTCATACATTATAAATAGAAATACGTGTTGTAGTATTTTATAAGAATAACTTTTTTTGCATTGTAGATTACGCTTGGCGATAACTACACTGTTGAAGACAGCAATTGTGATTGTGTCAATGGGCTTGACAAGTGCCATCACAAAGCATCTGTTTTATTGTTCGGGTAAGTACATAATGCTTATACTTTATATAACCCATGTCTATACTTTTATGGTGTCAGATACAAGAACATTAGCAAAACCGACATCAAAGCTTCATGGATTCAGCGACCTAAAAGTGCCCCACCAACACAGACACTTACCATGGAAGAGCTGTTTCCAGCCCCGCCAAAGTTGTTACATTACGGGTGATACACTGAATTTATATAAATGGGATTGAATCATTTGTTGCATATGTAAGCATATTCTGTGTCCACGTGTCAGTCAAGTGTATGTACAGGTGTTCTAACATTAAGTATTGTGTGTTAGGGCTACATCAAGACTGGTTGAGTGTTCCGATGTCACCTTTCTCTGTGACAAGTTGAAAGATCTTGGTCGTTTTTCAGGTTACCATTATTGAAGTTGTGAGCTGTTTACATCTGCATTGTAGATGTTGTTTTGTTATTGAATTTGTTCATGTCTTATGTTTGTATGTTATTATTGTCTTATTATTTTTGTTTGTCTATTTGTAATGTGGACCGTCTGTTATGTGCGTGTACATGCACATTTACATGTACATAATAGATTACACGCAACTGCCAGACAAGAGGACCTATCTATATGTAAGTACAATGCATTTTGCACATACCCCCCTCTCCACTCCCCTGTTACGGTAGTGGGTAGGCCCTCAGCTGTGGATCCATTAAACTAGACCCCTATGATATACTTCCAATTCTTTGATTTTTCCAATACTTCATGTAATATAATACAATATGATATTGTACATTATTGCATGAAGTATTAAAGATATAACATGTTAATTGTAGGTCTACAGAAGTACAATTACCATGTTATTTGTTAGATAAGTATACAAATCAACATACTTACTATTATGTTGATTACTATTTGTTCATATATTTAGCGATGCACTGGATGTTGACCCCTGAACCTGCAGTCCCACTGCTTGATGTTCCTTGTGTGGAGGACCTGTTGCTGTCTGACAGTTATTTAGAGTCTACAAAGAAAACTCAATGGCTCAAAGAAAAAATAGCAATGACGCCTGAACAAATACAGCAGGTTAGTACATTTGTAAGTTTCAGACAAGGCACACATGATTCATATTTACATTTGCAGATACAATGGTCCCCCATTATTAAAACACCCTCTATATATAATTCACCAGCAAAGATAATCAGATTTCCAACTACATTGACCCTTCTGAAAAGAAAGAAAAGAAAAAAATCATAAGAAAAGAGGACACCTGCATCACAACAATGATAACATTTGCAGTTTTTGTATTGCAGGTGGCACAACTTACTACTGGACAAAGAGACAATCACCTCTGGGCACTGGTGAGAAAAAATCGATTGACCGCATCAAATTTTGGAGCAGCATTGGCAGCTTTGAGAAGGAACAGGTAAATTATATATCCTATCTGATAATATCTAAATAAACACACAGCATTGCACACTTAGGTAGCCGATGTCCAATTTTTAGTCACTGATGATAATTTTTCGGTATAGCCTTCATCAGATTATTCTTTTTTCATCTTTGAACAGTGTATGTCACATGCACTGGGGTTAAAAGAGTGTGTGTTGCTGTTTTTTGAAGTATGAAGATTATTCTCAACATATGCTCCTCTGGGAATACTTCAGTTGTGCGTCGCTTCTGTCTATCTCTAGCCCTGTATACATCTCTCTCTTTCTCTCTATCTATATCTGCCTTCATCTGCCTACTCTCAATTGCCTTTGTCTTAGGTTTCCACCATCTCTCTTCAAAAAAATCATGTGTTCATACAACCTCTCAAAGAAAGACACTATCATGTGGGGTACCATCAATGAAGCCGTTGCTCGGGCAAAGTATTGTTCTTTTGGAGATGCAGTTGTTGAAGAGACCGGTAAGTCATATATATTTTTACCGATTATGCTAATGTAAAATATAATTAAAGAAGCTGTACAGTAACACAGATAATGCTAAGATATGATATGCACAGGTGTGTGGCTGCATCCAAGTGGAGTTTTGGGTGCCAGTCCAGATGGCATCATAAAAAGGCCTGCCACAAACAACTACACACATGTGAATATTTAATTATTTTCTGCCTGCTGAAATGTCATTTTAAACAGTTCAATAAGAGTTCACCTGTACTTTGAACTGCTTACAGAAGCATGGAGCAGATAAGGTGTTGATGTATATAACATGAGATAATGCTATCTCGTGTACATTGGAGTTTGGTCCATTACATAAACATGCTTATATCACAATTATGTCATCTTCGGCCAACTCAGTTGAACATTGACCATACGCTCTCTTCTGCATAGTCATGCTTACATAATCATTTTAAATGTATATAAGGAGTTAGCCTTTGTCAGTACTTTAGACTTCTGAGGCCAGACAGGATGGGAGGCTGCGTTATGCTTGTTCAGACTACGCTCAAACCTTCTGACAATAAAAACTTTATTTTGAAATACGCAGTTTTATCGAAGTCTCTATTTGTCTTGTGTCTGGGAAATTCACAATTTGGTGACGCCCTGACGTGATTCAAAAAGCCCAAGACAAAGACAATATTATTTTTATTTTTTCAAACACCTTTTTGCTCCAGAGCAGCGCTTCATCTTCTCTGGCGTTGCAGAAGTCTCCGTAAAAGATACAGCACCAACAAAGGTACAAAGTAGATCTACTCACAATAAGGAAAATACAGATGCCTTTTCTAAAAATCTGTTAAATTGGTCTTACATCAAAAAATGTCAATGTGGTTGGCTGCTGGCTCTTTTATGATTCCTGTTTAAATTGTAAATATATATGCGCATTTTTTTTATAAAAAGATCGCCGCCGTTTTATAAGACTTTTTTGGCGTGAGAAGAATGTAAAAGTAGATAGAAGCCGTTTTTCGAGGTTTTTTCGGCAGAAGTAGAATTTAAAAAACGATTGTAGTATGCGCTGTTTTTAGAGATTTTTTCAGCGTCAGAAGAAACAAAAAACGTGTTAATTCAAAGAACTGGTTATTTTTGATAAATAGTCTAAGTAATTAGCGTAAGAAATTCAATAATTACATTTATATGTATGTACATAAAAAGTGGTTAGTAGTAGTAGTGACCTGGTAGTAGTAGTAGTGACCTGGTGGTAGTAGGAGTAGTAGGTTTAAGTGGTAAAAAGGTTTGTATACTTATTCCTTTGTAAAATATTTGTCTCAGTCTCTGTCCTCAGACCCTGTCCTCAGTCTCTGTCCTCAGTCTCTGTCCTCAGTCTCTGTCCTCAGTCTCTGTCCTCAGACCCTGTCCTCAGTCTCTGTCCTCAGTCTCTGTCCTCAGTCTCTGTCCTCAGTCTCTGTCCTCAGTCTCTGTCCTCAGTCTCTGTCCTCAGACCCTGTCCTCAGTCTCTGTCCTCAGTCTCTGTCCTCAGTCTCTGTCCTCAGTCTCTGTCCTCAGACCCTGTCCTCAGTCTCTGTCCTCAGTCTCTGTCCTCAGTCTCTGTCCTCAGACTCTGTCCTCAGACCCTGTCCTCAGACTCTGTCCTCAGTCTCTGTCCTCAGTCTCTGTCCTCAGTCTCTGTCCTCAGACCCTGTCCTCAGTCTCTGTCCTCAGTCTCTGTCCTCAGTCTCTGTCCTCAGTCTCTGTCCTCAGTCTCTGTCCTCAGACCCTGTCCTCAGTCTCTGTCCTCAGTCTCTGTCCTCAGTCTCTGTCCTCAGTCTCTGTCCTCAGACCCTGTCCTCAGTCTCTGTCCTCAGTCTCTGTCCTCAGTCTCTGTCCTCAGACTCTGTCCTCAGACCCTGTCCTCAGACTCTGTCCTCAGTCTCTGTCCTCAGTCTCTGTCCTCAGTCTCTGTCCTCAGACCCTGTCCTCAGTCTCTGTCCTCAGTCTCTGTCCTCAGTCTCTGTCCTCAGACCCTGTCCTCAGACTCTGTCCTCAGACTCTGTCCTCAGTCTCTGTCCTCAGTCTCTGTCCTCAGACTCTGTCCTCAGACCCTGTCCTCAGACTCTGTCCTCAGTCTCTGTCCTCAGTCTCTGTCCTCAGACCCTGTCCTCAGACTCTGTCCTCAGTCTCTGTCCTCAGTCTCTGTCCTCAGTCTCTGTCCTCAGACCCTGTCCTCAGTCTCTGTCCTCAGTCTCTGTCCTCAGACTCTGTCCTCAGACCCTGTCCTCAGACTCTGTCCTCAGTCTCTGTCCTCAGTCTCTGTCCTCAGTCTCTGTCCTCAGACCCTGTCCTCAGTCTCTGTCCTCAGTCTCTGTCCTCAGTCTCTGTCCTCAGACCCTGTCCTCAGACTCTGTCCTCAGTCTCTGTCCTCAGTCTCTGTCCTCAGTCTCTGTCCTCAGACCCTGTCCTCAGACTCTGTCCTCAGTCTCTGTCCTCAGTCTCTGTCCTCAGTCTCTGTCCTCAGTCTCTGTCCTCAGTCTCTGTCCTCAGTCTCTGTCCTCAGACCCTCTGTCCTCAGACTCTGTCCTCAGTCTCTGTCCTCAGACCCTCCTGAGTCCATGTTATCAATCAGAGACTAATCTAATCTGGGTTTTCCTCGAGCACAAACGAAGGCCAAGTCCTGACAGTAAAAATAACCGGCGTCGCTTTTACACTCTCTGAATCAAGGCCAAAAATACTTCCGGAACAATCTCACCTCCGCCTCCGCAGAGACTCAGCAAAGCTATTTCTGAGATCCAGGCTGAGGTAAAAACAGAGAGACCAGTCCCAGAAAAGATGGACCAGATCTGGGTCCGAACAGAGAGAGGACCAGTCTATCTCTGTCATGGTGCAACGTTTACCTGCAGCAAAACACACGGGAATAATAAAGAAGCTAGTATGAAATCACTAGCATTAGCATAATAAAGCTAGTAATGAAATAACTAGCATTAGCATAATAAAGCTAGTATGAAATCACTAGCATTAGCATAATAAAGCTAGTATGAAATCACTAGCATTAGCATAATAAAGCTAGTATGAAATCACTAGCATTAGCATAATAAAGCTAGTATGAAATCACTAGCATTAGCATAATAAAGCTAGTATGAAATCACTAGCATTAGCATAATAAAGCTAGTATGAAATCACTAGCATTAGCATAATAAAGCTAGTATGAAATCACTAGCATTAGCATAATAAAGCTAGTATGAAATTAGCTCATCAGACCACAACAACACACTCCTCTGACCACAACAACACACTCTTCTGACCACAACAACACACTCCTCAGACCATAACAACACACTCTTCTGACCACAACAACACACTCCTCAGACCATAACACACTCCTCAGACCACAACAACACACTCTTCTGACCACAACAACACACTCCTCAGACCATAACACACTCCTCAGACCACAACAACACACTCCGCTGCAGGACCAACAGGAGCCCGAGGGGTGATGTGAGCGCCTGTGTTTGTTTGTGTGACATCACAGTCCTCTGACCTCGAGGAGCTCTGGGACGGCTCTTTATAGTCCACAGGTCCAAGGGGGCGGGGCCTACCCTCACCTAATCACCAGAGACTACAGAGACCAGAGAGAGACCAGAGAGAGAGACCAGAGAGACACCAGAGAGAAAGGCTAGAGAGAGACCAGAGAGAGACCAGAGAGAGACCAGAAAGAGACCAGAGAGAGACCAGAGAGAGACCAGAGAGAGAGACCAGAGAGAGACCAGAGAGAGACCAGAGAGACACCAGAGAGAAAGGCTAGAGAGAGACCAGAGAGAGACCAGAGAGAGACCAGAGAGAGACCAGAGAGAGACCAGAGAGACCAGAGAGAGACCAGAGAGAGAGACCAGAGAGAGACCAGAGAGAGACCAGAGAGACACCAGAGAGAAAGGCTAGAGAGAGACCAGAGAGAGACCAGAGAGAGACCAGAAAGAGACCAGAGAGAGACCAGAGAGACCAGAGAGAGACCAGAGAGAGAGACCAGAGAGAGACCAGAGAGAGACCAGAAAGAGACCAGAGAGAGACCAGAGAGACCAGAGAGAGACCAGAGAGAGAGACCAGAGAGAGACCAGAGAGAGACCAGAAAGAGACCAGAGAGAGACCAGAGTAAGTAAGTAGTAATCTGAATCTCTATATAGCACATTCTTACAGACTAAAGTCGCACAAAGCACTTTCCTTTAGCACTTTAACAAACATCAACAATTTAGGACCAGAAGTGCTGAGGTTAATGTTTGTTTCCACGGCGACTTAAAGACTATATGGTTTTAGGGAGAGAGCCTCGGGGCTGGAAAAGGAGCGAGACTACACCTGGACCGGGTCTAAACAAAGACCGGGTCCAGCTGCGGCCGAGGCTCAAGAAACTGAAACACAATAAACTAAAATAGAAACAGGAGACTCTGTGATGGATTCAATACAATTTATCTGTGGATGTCACATGACCAAAACCACTCACTCAGCCAATCAGAGAGCAGCAAAGGGGAAAACCAGGACTGAACCAGGACTGAGGCAGGACTGAGGCAGGACTGAGGCAGGACTGAGGCAGGACTGAACCAGGACTGAACCAGGACTGACCCAGGACTGAACCAGGACTGACCCAGGACTGAGGCAGGACTGAGGCAGGACTGAGGCAGGACTGAACCAGGACTGAGGCAGGACTGAACCAGGACTGAACCAGGACTGACCCAGGACTGAGGCAGGACTGAACCAGGACTGACCCAGGACTGAACCAGGACTGACCCAGGACTGAGGCAGGACTGAGGCAGGACTGAGGCAGGACTGAACCAGGACTGAGGCAGGACTGAACCAGGACTGAACCAGGACTGACCCAGGACTGAGGCAGGACTGAGGCAGGACTGAGACAGGACTGAACCAGGACTGAACCAGGACTGAGGCAGGACTGAGGCAGGACTGAACCAGGACTGAACCAGGACTGACCCAGGACTGAGGCAGGACTGAGGCAGGACTGAACCAGGACTGACCCAGGACTGAGGCAGGACTGAGGCAGGACTGAGGCAGGACTGAACCAGGACTGAACCAGGACTGACCCAGGACTGAGGCAGGACTGAGGCAGGACTGAGGCAGGACTGAGGCAGGACTGAACCAGGACTGAACCAGGACTGAACCAGGACTGAACCAGGACTGAACCAGGACTGACCCAGGACTGAACCAGGACTGAACCAGGACTGAACCAGGACTGAACCAGGACTGACCCAGGACTGAACCAGGACTGAACCAGGACTGACCCAGGACTGAGGCAGGAGTGAGGCAGGACTGAACCAGGACTGAACCAGGACTGACCCAGGACTGAGGCAGGCCTGAGGCAGGACTGACACAGTGTGGACATGTGGCTCCAGCCTGAGTGTCTCCTGTGTCTGTGAAGTGCTGAGTTGGATCCAGAAGGACTGGTTAAGAACAGAATAATCCATGGCTTTGCTTCAGGATCATTTTACAAACTCAGACTCACAGTTTTGAATAATTATTAAGAACAAAACCATCTCATTAAAACAGTGATAACTGCAGAACGTTAGACTTTTCTCCACAGGACGTTGTGAGAGGAGGCCATAATCTCAGACCTCAGAGAGTCCAGTCTGAACCCTGGACCAGAGCAGGTTCCCAGTGCGTGCCCAGCTGCTGCTTCCTGTTCCTGTCCTGGCAACATGAGTGAATAATAGTGAAGTGTCAGGGGGCGGAGATTCTTTGTGGAGAATGAATGAAACAATAGTCTGAGAGAGCTGGAGGTTTCTACAGCTGCGTCCACAAAGTCTGCATCAATCTTCAATCCTTCCTGCTGCTGTCAGACTGTACAAGGAGAACTGCTCAGTCTGTACCATGGATCTATAATAATAACTGGATAGAGTATTACTAGCTTACAGCGGTCCCACCCATGGCCACAGGGGGCGCTGTGGTACTGCAGACTAATGTCACGAGGGCTACCCAGAAAAAAGTCCCATAGATCTCAATGTAAACTAAAACAGCTCGACCTCAGCTGTCAGAGAACCTGACAGAGAACCTACAGAGAACCTGACAGAGAACCTGACAGAGAACCTGACAGAGAACCTGACAGAGAACCTACAGAGAACCTGACAGAGAACCTGACAGAGAACCTGACAGAGAACCTGACAGAGAACCTGACAGAGAACCTGACAGAGAACCTGACAGAGAACCTGACAGAGAACCTACAAAGAACCTGACAGAGAACCTGACAGAGAACCTGACAGAGAACCTACAGAGAACCTGACAGAGAACCTACAGAGAACCTGACAGAGAACCTGACAGAGAACCTGACAGAGAACCTACAGTTTTCACAAAGTGTTCCTTGTCGTCCTGAACTTTTTTTCTTCTTAAATCCTTCTGTTTTCTTTAAATCCACACTTTACTGCCACAAACTCTGCTCCTTTCTTTCCCGCTCTGACTCCGCCCTGCTGCTGCTCTGAGCTGCTCTGATTGGTCAGAGCGCGTCCGAGCCCCTCTGTGCACGTGCATGAGAGCCACACACACACGTATTTGGCGCAAAGCATCATGGGAGCTCGTCCACTGTGCAGAACCAAGAGGACCAGACGATGCCCAAATATGGGCGAGTTCAGCTAATCTCCCGGTCTTTGTGAAGTCCCATGAACCACTGAGCACAAGCCGTTCATTTGAACAGGGGCCATCTTGGATCACCGGGGCTGGCTCTGTACATGCAGGAAGAGAGCGCCGCGTTCAAATGAATGGTTTGTGCGCATGGTCTCTGACATATTAACTCGCCCATATTTGGGCATAGTCTGGTCCTCCTGGTTCTGGAGTGGACGAGCTCCCATGATGCTTTGCTCCAAGTGCATGTGTGTGGCTCTCATGCACGTGCACAGAGGGGCTCGGACGCGCTTTGACCAATCAGAGCAGCTCAGAGCAGCAGCAGGGCGGAGTCAGAGCGGGAAAGAAAGGAGCAGAGTTTGTGGCAGTAAAGTGTGGATTTAAAGAAAACAGAAGGATTTAAGAAGAAAAAAAGGTCAGGACGACAAGGAACACTTTGTGAAAGCTGTAGGTTCTCTGTCAGGTTCTCTGTCAGGTTCTCTGTCAGGTTCTCTGTCAGGTTCTCTGTCAGGTTCTCTGTCAGGTTCTCTGTCAGGTTCTCTGTCAGGTTCTCTGTCAGGTTCTCTGTCAGGTTCTCTGTCAGGTTCTCTGTCAGGTTCTCTGTCAGGTTCTCTGTCAGGTTCTCTGTCAGGTTCTCTGTCAGGTTCTCTGTCGGGTTCTCTGTAGGTTCTCTGTCAGGTTCTCTGTAGGTTCTCATTCAGGTTCTCTGTCAGGTTCTCTGTCGGGTTCTCTGTAGGTTCTCTGTCAGGTTCTCTGTAGGTTCTCTGTCAGGTTCTCTGTCTGGTTCTCTGTCAGGTTCTCTGTAAGTTCTCTGTCAGGTTCTCTGTCAGGTTCTCTGTCAGGTTCTCTGTCAGGTTCTCTGTCAGGTTCTCTGTCAGGTCTCTGTCAGGTTCTCTGTCAGGTTCTCTGTCAGGTTCTCTGTAGGTTCTCTGTCAGGTTCTCTGTAGGTTCTCTGTCAGGTTCTCTGTCGGGTTCTCTGTAGGTTCTCTGTCAGGTTCTCTGTAGGTTCTCTGTCAGGTTCTCTGTCTGGTTCTCTGTTAGGTTCTCTGTCAGGTTCTCTGTAAGTTCTCTGTCAGGTTCTCTGTCAGGTTCTCTGTCAGGTTCTCTGTCAGGTTCTCTGTCAGGTTCTCTGTAGGTTCTCTGTCAGGTTCTCTGTCAGGTTCTCTGTCAGGTTCTCTGTTAGGTTCTCTGTCAGGTTCTCTGTAGGTTCTCTGTCAGGTTCTCTGTCAGGTTCTCTGTCAGGTTCTCTGTCAGGTTCTCTGTCAGGTTCTCTGTCAGGTTCTCTGTCAGGTTCTCTGTAGGTTCTCTGTCAGGTTCTCTGTCAGGTTCTCTGTCAGGTTCTCTGTCAGGTTCTCATTCAGGTTCTCTGTCAGGTTCTCTGTCAGGTTCTCTGTCAGGTTCTCTGTCAGGTTCTCTGTCAGGTTCTCTGTAGGTTCTCTGTCAGGTTCTCTGTCAGGTTCTCTGTCAGGTTCTCTGTCAGGTTCTCTGTCAGGTTCTCTGTCTGGTTCTCTGTTAGGTTCTCTGTCAGGTTCTCTGTCAGGTTCTCTGTCAGGTTCTCTGTCAGGTTCTCTGTCAGGTTCTCTGTCAGGTTCTCTGTCAGGTTCTCTGTAGGTTCTCTGTCAGGTTCTCTGTCAGGTTCTCTGTCAGGTTCTCTGTCAGGTTCTCTGTAGGTTCTCTGTCAGGTTCTCTGTCAGGTTCTCTGTCAGGTTCTCTGTCAGGTTCTCATTCAGGTTCTCTGTCAGGTTCTCTGTCAGGTTCTCTGTCAGGTTCTCATTCAGGTTCTCTGTCGAGGCCGAAATACGTCTGTGGAATCTTAATCACTTAATCTGTCGCTAACACAGCAGCACATGAGGCTAACGGCTAACATGCTAACGTACGAGACTGACCAGGAGCGAGGAGGAGCCCTGTCTCACTGTTTCAGGAAGACTGTTCCAGACTGTATACTGTAAAGGTCTGGAATGCAGAGAGAGACCAGAGAGAGACCAGACAGAGAGACCAGAGAGAGACCAGAGAGAGACCAGAGAGAGACCAGAGAGAGACCAGAGAGAGACCAGAGAGAGAGACCAGAGAGAGAGACCAGAGAGAGGTCAGAGAGAGACCAGAGAGAGAGACCAGAGAGAGACCAGAGAGAGAGACCAGAGAGAGACCAGAGAGAGACCAGAGAGAGACCAGCGAGAGAGAGACCAGGGAGAAACCAGAGAGACCAGAGAGAGAGACCAGACAGAGAGACCAGAGAGAGAGAGACCAGGGAGAGACCAGGGAGAGACTATAGAGAGACCAGAGAGAGACCAGAGAGAGACCAGAGAGAGACCAGAGAGAGACCAGAGAGAGACCAGAGAGAGACCAGAGAGAGACCAGCGAGAGAGAGACCAGAGAGACCAGAGAGAGAGACCAGACAGAGAGACCAGAGAGAGAGAGACCAGGGAGAAACCAGAGAGACCAGAGAGAGAGACCAGAGAGAGAGACCAGAGAGAGACCAGGGAGAGACTATAGAGAGACCAGAGAGAGACCAGAGAGAGACCAGACAGAGAGACCAGTGAGAGAGACCAGAGAGAGACCAGGGAGAGACTATAGAGAGACCAGAGAGAGACCAGAGAGAGACCAGAGAGAGACCAGAGAGAGACCAGAGAGAGAGAGACCAGAGAAACCAGAGAGACCAGAGAGAGACCAGAGAGAGAGACCAGACAGAGAGACCAGAGAGAGAGACCAGAGAGAGACCAGAGAGAGACCAGAGAGAGAGACCAGAGAGAGACCAGAGAGAGAGACCAGAGAGAGAGAGAGACTAGAGAGAGACCAGAGAGAGAAACCAGAGAGACCAGAGAGAGACCAGAGAGAGACCAGAGAGAGAGACCAGAGAGAGAGACCAGATAGAGAGACCAGAGAGAGAGACCAGAGAGAGACCAGAGAGAGACCAGAGAGAGAGACCAGAGAGAGCCCAGAGAGAGACCAGAGAGAGACCAGAGAGAGACCAGAGAGAGAGACCAGAGAGAGACCAGAGAGAGACCAGAGAGAGAGACCAGAGAGAGACCAGAGAGAGAGACCAGAGAGAGACCAGAGAGAGAGACCAGAGAGAGACCAGAGAGAGACCAGAGAGAGAGACCAGAGAGAGACCAGAGAGAGACCAGAGAGAGAGACCAGAGAGAGATAAGATAAGATAAGATAAGATAAGATTGCTTTATTTATCTCACAGAGGAGAAATTTACATGTCACATTTGTCATGGATAGAGACACTCAGATTGTGCAAAGGAGGAAATGTGCAAACATGTAACATGCAGGATATATGTACAATAAAGTGACAATAATTATGTACAACAAAAGTGACAAGTGTCAATTGGAAACAGTGTCAATAGTAGTGCAGGTTTTCACACAGTGATCATTTAAAGTGACTTATTGTACAGTCTGACAGCAGTGGGGATAAAGGCCCTGCTCCTTCCTACACTGAGGGTGCCTCAGTCTTCCACTGAAGGAGCTCCTCAGCTCCTCTACAGTCCTGTGCAGTGGGTGGGAGGTATTGTTCATGATGGAGGTGGCTTTGGCTAGCACCTCCTGTCCCTCACCTCCTCCACAGAGTCCAGGGGCCTCCTGTCCCTCACCTCCTCCACAGAGTCCAGGGGCCTCCTGTCCCTCACCTCCTCCACAGAGTCCAGGGGCCTCCTGTCCCTCACCTCCTCCACAGAGTCCAGAGGCCTCCTGTCCCTCACCTCCTCCACAGAGTCCAGGGGCCTCCTGTCCCTCACCTCCTCCACAGAGTCCAGGGGCCTCCTGTCCCTCACCTCCTCCACAGAGTCCAGGGGCCTCCTGTCCCTCACCTCCTCCACAGAGTCCAGAGGCCTCCTGTCCCTCACCTCCTCCACAGAGTCCAGGGGCCTCCTGTCCCTCACCTCCTCCACAGAGTCCAGAGGCCTCCTGTCCCTCACCTCCTCCACAGAGTCCAGGGGCCTCCTGTCCCTCACCTCCTCCACAGAGTCCAGGGGCCTCCTGTCCCTCACCTCCTCCACAGAGTCCAGGGGCCTCCTGTCCCTCACCTCCTCCACAGAGTCCAGGGGCCTCCTGTCCCTCACCTCCTCCACAGAGTCCAGGGGCCTCCTGTCCCTCACCTCCTCCACAGAGTCCAGGGGCCTCCTGTCCCTGACCTCCTCCTGACCAGCTTGTTCAGTCTGTTTCTGTCCCGCTCTGTGCTGCCCGGGGCCCAGCACACGGCAGCGTAGTAAATGGCAGAAGCTACCACAGAGTCATAAAAAGTCCTGAGCAGAGGCCTGCTCACTCCGAAGGACCTCAGCCTCCTCCGAAGGAAGAGGCGACTTTGGCCCTTCTTGTGCAGGGCGTTTGTATTATGAGAGAGACCAGAGAGAGAGACCAGAGAGAAACCAGAGAGAGAGAGACCAGAGAGAGACCAGAGAGAGCCCAGAGAGAGACCAGAGAGAGACCAGAGAGAGAGACCAGAGAGAGAGAGACCAGAGAGAGAGACCAGAGAGAGACCTGTTACACAAACACTCATTACCAAAGTTATGTCTCAGTTTGCACACAGCAGAAGACTCACTTATGATAACATGAGGTGAGTGGGGAGGGGGGGGGGGGGGGGGGGAGCATCAGGCTTTAGCTCCTACACTGTTCCTCGTTAGCATCACAAAGACCCTCTGACACCTGTCACGTTCTGCATTCTCTCAGATTTAACACATACTGTCTTATTCTGCTCATTCATTTGACCAGAGAGAGACCAGAGAGAGACCAGAGAGAGACCAGAGAGAGACCAGAGAGAGACCAGAGAGAGACCAGAGAGAGACCACAGAGAGACCAGAGAGAGACCAGAGAGAGACCAGAGAGAGACCAGAGAGAGACCAGAGAGAGACCTGAGAGAGACCTGAGAGACCAGAGAAAGACCAGAGAGAGACCAGAGAGAGACCAGAGAAAGACCAGAGAAAGACCTAGAGAGAGACCAGAGAGAGACCAGAGAGAGAGACCAGAGAGAGACCAGAGAGAGAGACCAGAGAGAGACCAGAGAGAGACCAGAGGGAGACCAGAGAAAGACCAGAGAGAGACCAGAGAGAGACCAGAAGGAGACCAGAGGGAGACCAGAGGGAGACCTGAGAGAGACCAGAGAGACCAGAGAAAGACCAGAGAGAGACCAGAGAGAGACCAGAGGGAGACCAGAGGGAGACCAGAGAGAGACCAGAGAGAGACCAGAGAGAGACCAGAGAGAGACCAGAGAAAGACCAGAGAGAGAGACCGGAGTGAGACCAGAGAGAGAGACCGGAGAGAGACCAGAGAGAGAGACCAGAGAGAGACCAGAGAGAGAGACCAGAGAGAGTCAGTTTAACCAGGTAAGTGTACGGTACTCACAGATTCTTGGATTTCTTCTTCTTCCTTCCGTCGGAGCGCACTTCGCAGCTACAGGGGGATCCGGAACTCAGCTGAGGAGAGAGGAGCGAGAAACCCTCATCACGGACCAGAACATCCAAGACCCGCGAGCTCTGCCCAGACGCTAGCAGCAAATACATCATCCCCGACAGCAGACCATGCTGACGGCTACAGCACGACCAGAGAAAGACCTTCTGTTCTGCGGGTTCTGAACTCTCTGAGCCAAGATCTGGGGTTTCACGTTTCACTTTGGGCCAACGCAGCGTTCTGATTGGTCAAGAGCAAACAGGAAGTAGCTGTTTGGAGGAGAAGGGGTCAATCTTTGCTAATCCGGGGCCTGAAGCCGGACCATTGTATGTGAGCTGAAGAATGAGCCATTGTTTCACAGGACGCAGGAGGTGATGAGGTCGACGCTTTAGTTTAGTTTAGGTCTTTGGATTAGTTTCTGGAAATGTAGAAACGTCTTCCTAAAAATGTGAGACAAGCTGCTGATCTGACAACGTGTAAATCCAGGTTTTATGATGTCTGTGGGTTTTTTCTTGTTTTTTAAGCACTTTTTAAAGTTTTTTTTTAAGTTTTCAAGATATTTTAGTCATCTGAAATAAAATTAGTGTCCCCTCTAAGTCCTGGATCTACAGCCTCAGTCCTGGATCTACAGCCTCAGTCCTGGGTCTACAGCCTCAGTCCTGGGTCTACAGTCTCAGTCCTGGATCTACAGCCTCAGTCCTGGGTCTACAACCTCAGTCCTGGGTCTACAGCCTCAGTCCTGGGTTTACAGCCTAAGTCCTGGTCCACAGCCTCAGTCCTGGGTCTACAGTCTCAGTCCTGGGTCTACAGTCTCAGTCCTGGGTCTACAGCCTCAGTCCTGGATCTACAGTCTCAGTCCTGGGTCTACAGCCTAAGTCCTGGTCCACAGCCTCAGTCCTGGGTCCACAGCCTCAGTCCTGGGTCTACAGCCTCAGTCCTGGATCTACAGCCTACGTCCTGGATCTACAGTCTCAGTCCTGGATCTACAGCCTCAGTCCTGGGTCTACAGCCTCAGTCCTGGTCCACAGCCTCAGTCCTGGGTCTACAGTCTCAGTCCTGGGTCTACAGTCTCAGTCCTGGATCTACAGCCTCAGTCCTGGGTCTACAGCCTCAGTCCTGGATCTACAGCCTCAGTCCTGGGTCTACAGCCTCAGTCCTGGGTCTACAGCCTCAGTCCTGGATCTACAACCTCAGTCCTGGGTCTACAGCCTCAGTCCTGGATCTACAGCCTCAGTCCTGGGTCTACAGCCTCAGTCCTGGGTCTACAGCCTCAGTCCTGGATCTACAGCCTCAGTCCTGGGTCTACAGCCTCAGTCCTGGGTCTACAGCCTAAGTCCTGGTCCACAGCCTCAGTCCTGGATCTACAGCCTCAGTCCTGGGTCTACAGCCTCAGTCCTGGGTCTACAGCCTCAGTCCTGGGTCTACAGCCTCAGTCCTGGGTCTACAGCCTCAGTCCTGGGTCTACAGCCTCAGTCCTGGGTCTACAGCCTCAGTCCTGGGTCTACAGCCTCAGTCCTGGGTCTACAGCCTCAGTCCTGGGTCTACAGCCTCAGTCCTGGGTCTACAGCCTCAGTCCTGGGTCTACAGCCTAAGTCCTGGTCCACAGCCTCAGTCCTGGATCTACAGCCTCAGTCCTGGATCTACAGCCTCAGTCCTGGGTCTACAGCCTCAGTCCTGGGTCTACAGCCTCAGTCCTGGGTCTACAGCCTCAGCCCTGGGTCTACAGCCTCAGTCCTGGGTCTACAGCCTCAGTCCTGGGTCTACAGCCTCAGTCCTGGGTCTACAGCCTCAGTCCTGGGTCTACAGCCTCAGTCCTGGGTCTACAGCCTCAGTCCTGGGTTTACAGCCTAAGTCCTGGTCCACAGCCTCAGTCCTGGATCTACAGCCTCAGTCCTGGATCTACAGCCTTTGAGGACCACACACCCCTGATCTAAACCCACAGGGCTCTAAGCTTCACTGTAAGTGTTCAGTCCAACTTCATCTTTGTCTCAGACTTTCAGGTCCAGACTGAAGTGAGAGCAACAGTAAGTTTTATATTTATAGGATGTTTAAAGCTTGGATCCAAAATACTGCTGTAGCAACGAGACAGATCTCACACTGAGGCCCAGGTCAGGACCTCACACTGAGGCCCACATACTTAAGTGCAGTAGAGTAGAGTAGAGTCGAGTAGAGTCCACTACAGTAGAGTAGAGTAGAGTAGAGTAGAGTAGAGTAGAGTAGGGTAGGGTAGGGTAGAGTAAAGTAGAGTAGAGTAGGGTAGAGTAGAGTAGGGTAGGGTAGAGTAGAGTAGAGTCCACTACAGTAGAGTAGAGTAGAGTAGAGTCCACTACAGTAGAGTAGAGTGGGGTAGGGTAGGGTAGAGTAGGGTAGAGTAGAGTAGAGTAGAGTAGAGTAGGGTAGAGTAGGGTAGAGTAGAGTAGGGTAGAGTAGAGTAGAGTAGAGTAGAGTAGAGTAGAGTAGGGTAGGGTAGGGTAGAGTAGAATAGAGTACAGTAGAATAGAGTAGGGTAGGGTAGGTAGAGTAGGGTAGGGTACGGTAGAGTAGAGTAGAGTAGAGTAGGGTAGAGTAGAGTAGGGTAGGGTAGAGTAGAGTACAGTAGAATAGAGTAGGGTAGGGTAGAGTAGAGTAGAGTAGAGTAGGGTAGAGTAGAGTAGGGTAGAGTAGAGTAGAGTAGGGTAGGGTGAGGTAGAGTAGAGTAGAGTAGGGTAGAGTAGAGTAGGGTAGAGTAGAGTAGAGTAGGGTAGGGTAGGGTAGAGTAGAGTAGGGTAGAGTAGAGTAGGGTAGGGTAGAGTAGAGTAGGGTAGGGTAGAGTAGAGTAGAGTAGGGTAGGGTAGAGTAGAGTACAGTAGAGTAGAGTAGAGTAGAGTAGAGTAGGGTAGAGTAGAGTAGAGTAGAGTAGAGTAGAGCAGAGAGCAGAGTAGAGTAGGGTAGAGTAGAGTAGAGTAGGGTAGAGTAGAGTAGAGTAGGGTAGGGTAGGGTAGAGTAGAGTACAGTAGAATAGAGTAGAGTAGAGTAGAGTAGAGTAGAGTAGAGTAGGGTAGGGTAGAGTAGAGTAGAGTAGAGTTGAGCAGAGCAGAGTAGAGTAGGGTAGAGTAGAGTAGAGTAGGGTAGAGTAGAGTAGGGTAGAGTAGAGTAGAGTAGGGTAGAGTAGAGTAGAGTAGAGTAGGGTAGAGTAGAGTAGAGTAGAGTAGGGTAGAGTAGAGTAGGGTAGGGTAGAGTAGAGTAGGGTAGGGTAGAGTAGAGTAGAGTAGGGTAGAGTACAGTAGAGTAGGGTAGGGTACAGTAGAGAAGAGTAGGGTAGGGTAGAGTAGGGTAGGGTAGAGTAGAGTAGAGTAGAGTAGGGTAGAGTAGAGTAGGGTAGAGTAGAGTAGAGTAGGGTAGGGTAGAGTAGAGTAGAGTAGGGTAGGGTAGGGTAGAGTAGAATAGAGTACAGTAGAATAGAGTAGGGTAGGGTAGGTAGAGTAGGGTAGAGTACAGTAGAGTAGAGTAGAGTACAGTACAGTAGAGTACAGTAGAGTAGAGTAGAGTAGAGTAGAGTAGAGTAGGGCGGTGGAAACAGGGCTTCTCCTTTAGTCTAATGGATGAAATCTGTTTGTGGTTGATTTGATTCAAGTTGAGAGAAAGAAAAACTTTCCTAAAAGAGAAAACTTTAAACTGGAGGAAATGAAATCACAGCTGAGTCAGGACTGGACCAGGGTTTCTCTCGTCTTCTGTGACTTTTCCATTTTAGGGAAATGACTTTTCACAGTTACACAACTCTTAATGTAATAAGTGAGAGTTGTGCGTCTGTCGTTTAGGATCAGAGCTAAGAAATGAAAGGAGAGCGAGAAGTCTCCAAAGGTTCCTCTGCGTCAACTGGAAAGGTTTAGTGCGTGTGTGATTCTATTGGGCTTCCGTGAGCTAGCATGTTAGCATTGTAGAGCATCAGGTTAGCATCAGGTTAGCTTGAGGTTAGCATCAGGTCCGTTGAGGTTAGCATGAGTCCGTGGGATTATGTAATGTAAAAAAAATGCCACAGCTGCCCTGGGACAGAAGTGAGGCAACCAGTCTGTGCCATCAGCCCCTCCCACCACCACCAACCATTCACACACACACCAGACTCATTCTAATGTGGGGGAAGTGTCTTGCCTAAGGACACAACCACAGCCGCTCCACCTGCTGTTCCCAAAGGTCTCCCATCACAGCACTAACCAGGCCCTGCCCTGCTTAGCTTCAGAAGTCTGACAGGGTCTGGCTTTCACCTGCAGGTAAATCAGAAACGCCACAGCGCCCTCTAGTGTCCGACCACAGAACAGCAGCAGCGTCACTCCAGTGGTTTATCACCCATTTACAACATTACAGCCAACCTCCGTCTGCAGGAAGACTTTTATGGACTTCCTGTTTGTCTTTTATTTTTATTTTATTACAATATTAAAGATTAAAAAATTATATAAAAACAGTATTGAGAGATGTTTGTGTTTTTTATATCTTAAAACTGGATTAATTAAGTTCAGATAAAGGTTTATTCGTCCTCAGAGGAAATGTTACAGTCACAGCAGAATAAAAGCAGAAATAAGAATCTAATATTAAAGATCATAGATATAATAAAAATAATAATAATAATAATATAATAATAATGACAATAATAATAATAATAATAATATAATAATAACAATAATAATAATAATAATAATAATAATAATAATAATAATATAATAATAATGACAATAATAATAATAATAATATTATAATAATAACAATAATAATAATAATAATAATAATATAATAATAATAATAATAACAATAATAATAATAATAATAATAACAATAATAATAATATAATAATAATAATATAATAATAATGAAAGTGGAGATAACAGATGTCTCTCTGGTTCCTCCGCAGCAGAGATGAAACTGTGTGATTCTATAAAGATATGACTCTGGTTCAGTACTTTTTGAACAATACCAATGTTTGTATAAATCCTTAATGAATGAATGATGTTTTTTCCAATGATAAAACAAACATGTGGAAAAGCATTAGGAGCTCTTCTGTCTGTTGAAGTTCGCTGGTGTTTCTGTTTCTGGATTTGTAATTTTGTTTGCACCAAAATAAATCAAATCAGAAAACGACCAGAAATAAATTTCCATTCAGTGCCTGTTTGTGGCAGTAGTTGTCTCAAAGCTGTCGATTCGCCGACACAGATCAGAGAATCAGACTCAGAACATAACGGGTCCTGGGTCTGTTAGGATTTTTTTTTTATTTTGTTAAATCATATCTTTTTGTAATCCTGACTTTTGGCTCCTTCCTCGTCTCACCATATGACACAGACCTGGAACCTTCCTGACGCTGCTGACTACAGAGTGACTGATCCTTGATCCAGTGACATCACAGCTCCAGGACATTATTATGATCTCTCTGTTCTCTCTGATCCTAAACAGTAGATCATGTTTGAAGTCAGAAACTCTCTTTAGTGTCTTGACAATTCCTCTGAATGACAAAGGTCAGTCAGACCCAGAGAGAGGCTGGTCCAGAGGGTCCAGAGGGTCCAGAGGGTCCAGAGTGTGAGTGTGATTCATGAACATCTGTAATGACCAATAACATGTCATGATGCTAACATGCTAACTATGGAAACAGATCATTCTCTGGAATAAACAATATTTATACTAGTTTATTAGAGATTGTATGATATTTTTGAACATTTAGTTATTGTTCCTTTCTCTTGTGCAGCGTTCTGTAACGATGCAACACTGACATTTCCCCGCTGTAAAGGATCTTCATCTTCAAATACAGTTGTTTTTATCACTCTGAGGCAGCGTGTGTTGAGAGCACTGTCCACTAGAGGGCACTGTCTGCAAACACATTGGACTGAGCTCCTTCAGTCTCTTCAAACTCTGCTTTAAAATTTTACTTCATACCTTCATGTTAAAGCCAGATCCTGTCAGACCTCTGACGCTAAGCAGGGCAGGGCCTGGTTAGTGCTGTGTTGGGAGACTTCTGTGAACAGCAGGTGCCACAGTGGGGCGGCTGCGGCTGTAAAGTGCCAAACTGTGGTTGTGTCCTTAGGCAAGACACTTCCCCCACATTAGAATGAGTCTGGTGTGTGTGAATTGTTGGTGGTGGTGGGAGGGGCTGAGGGCACAGACTGGTTGCCTCGCTTCTGTCAGTGTGCCCCAGGGCAGCTGTGGCTACAGTAGTAGTTTATCACCACCGTGTTTGGAGAGTGAGAATAATAATGTGAAGAGACTTTGAGAGTCTTAAAAGCCCTGTATAAAACCATTACATTATTATTATTATAATTACTTTTACATTTAGCAGAACCAGTATAAATGCAGGGACCATATGTTGCCTTTGTTTTGACCTGTAGTTCAGCAGAGAACTCACAGGATTCCACCAAAGGTACTGGCAACCCAAATGAGACTCAGAGGATCAGAGCTGCAGATGAAACTAAAACATCATAAAGATTGAGTTCATGTGAATCATCCTCAAAGAGAACACACAGGACTCTAATCATGCTTTTGTCATTATTAAGACAAAATATATTGTTCCTTTAAGTCAGGGCTGGTCTCTGATCTCTGACTGGACCTCGGTCTGACACCCTGGACCTGGACCTGTCCTCGGTCTGAAACCCTGGACCTGGACCTGTCCTCGGTCTGAAACCCTGGCCCTGGACCTGTACTTGGTGGAAAACCCTGGACCTGGACCTGTCCTCGGTCTGAAACCCTGAACCTGGACCAGTCTGTTGGTGCTATGAAATATACATTGTAAAATACATTGTTTTTATATATTTTTGTGGCAATTTTACATTAAACCAGAGCTGGGTCAGGATCAGACTTGGACTAGAACCGGACTTAAGACAGGACTAGAATCACAGTCCAGGACCAACGAGGCTATCTATGTATCCAGCTTTGTATCTGTCTCCAAACCCGCCCCGATGTGGGTCTCACCTTGCGGCCCGCGAACAGCATGCAGAGCTGGTGCATGGAGCCTCCGTTCTTGGTGAGCTCCTTCTTCAGCGTTTGAGGCGATGGCAGCGTCCAGCCGCCCGAGTGCCCGCCGCCGGCCTCCAGGCGGTGGATGGCGTTGTCTGAGGTGAAGCAGGCGGAGCGCGGGTCCTGCAGCAGACTGCCCTCACTGTGCGTCCGTCTCCTCAGTGAGTTCTGCACGCTGAGGCCGCCGCCGCCGCCGCCGTGCTTCTCGCAGGCCGCCACCATACTGCGGCGTTTACTGTCGCTCCTCTGCAGGTACGCATCATCACTGTCCTCCTCCTCCTCCTCGTCCTCCTCCTCCGAGTCCTCGTCTTCAAAGTCCTCGTCCTCGGTGTTGGAGGAGAGAGCGTCGGCGCTGAAGCTTCGGTCCAGGCGCAGCTCGGGGATGATGAAGGAGGAGGAAGAGGAGGAGGGAGGCGCGTCCTGAGGCTCAGAGGTGTTGTCTTCGTCTGCGTTCAGGACCGTGAGGCTCAGGCCGCCGCCCTCCAGCCCGTTCCTCCGCTCGGCCTCGTACTCCTGGCCCTCGCTGCTCCCTCTGCGCGCGCACTCCTCGTACTCGTGCAGCTCGTCCTGGTCCTCGTGCAGCTCGTCCTGGTCCGTCCTCCACAGGTCGCTCTGCTCCTCGCCCTCGGTGGACGGAGGCGGCGTGGGCGGGACCTTCAGGCTTCCTCCCAGCGGCGTGTAGATGTCGTCCAGCGGCGTGAGGGGGTCTGAGGGGTGCGGGCTGCCCAGGGTGCGGGGCTCGGAGGGGCTGGAGGGGTACAGGCTGCTCTCCTCTCCCTCAGAGGGGGGGGGCAGGTGCAGACAGGAGCGCTCCCCCCCACTGCCCAGCGCACACGAGGAGGCGTCCAGCTTGGGCTCCAACATCTGCACACACACAGACAAAGTCATTATTGTCAGAGTTTTTAAACAGTTTTACAGTGTATTTACAGTATTTGTTGGACTATAAGCAGGTTTTATTTTCAGGCCCAGTGACCCCTGCAGCCTGTGACCATCACCCCAGGACTCAGCAGACAGACTCCATCACCCCAGGACCAGACAGACTCCATCACCCCAGGACCAGACAGACTCCATCACCCCAGGACCCAGCAGACAGACTCCATCACCCCAGGACCAGACAGACTCCATCACCCCAGGACCAGACAGACTCCATCACCCCAGGACCAGACAGACTCCATCACCCCAGGACCCAGCAGACAGACTCCATCACCCCAGGACCAGACAGACTCCATCACCCCAGGACCAGACAGACAGACTCCATCACCCCAGGACCCAGCAGACAGACTCCATCACCCCAGGACCAGACAGACAGACTCCATCACCCCAGGACCAGACAGACAGACTCCATCACCCCAGGACCCAGCAGACAGACTCCATCACCCCAGGACCCAGCAGACAGACTCCATCACCCCAGGACCAGACAGACAGACTCCACACCCCAGGACCCAGCAGACAGACTCCATCACCCCAGGACCCAGCAGACAGACTCCATCACCCCAGGACCCAGCAGACAGACTCCACCACCCCAGGACCAGACAGACAGACTCCATCACCCCAGGACCCAGCAGACAGACTCCACCACCCCAGGACCAGACAGACAGACTCCACCACCCCAGGACCCAGCAGACAGACTCCATCACCCCAGGACCCAGCAGACAGACTCCACCACCCCAGGACCCAGCAGACAGACTCCACCACCCCAGGACCAGACAGACAGACTCCATCACCCCAGGACCCAGCAGACAGACTCCACCACCCCAGGACCAGACAGACAGACTCCACCACCCCAGGACCCAGCAGACAGACTCGTCCAAGGACTTCCTCGTCACGTTCTCTGTCCAGGGACCATCATCAACAATGACTATTCCTCTCATCCATATCTATGTATCTATCTATGAAGCTGCACTAACTGACTTTGTGAACGTGGCGTGACCATAGAATGATAGAACCAGGAAGTGCAGAGGAACCAGACTTTCTTTTGTCTGTTTCTCTGAGTAAGCAGTAACAAAGACACAGAAGTTTCAGGTTAGCCTCCGCCGCTTGTTTACCTCAGCTGTCGGTGCTAACCACAGACCTGGGGCTTTTCTCAAGAAAGTGGGGGCCAGTGGTCCGCTGTGATTGGTCACAATCTGGACCCGAAACAAATTCTCTTTCTTGATGCACGAAAACTCGATCTAAAATAAAATGACACTCCAGCACAAATCTGCGCTACTTTTTCTTCAAAAGGACGTTTATCCCAAAGCACTGCTGGATATGGACTGGATTTAACTCATGAATACAACTATAAAGTCAGGCAGCTTTAGGCAGATCGAGCCTTCTCTCTAACATTCATTATTTTTTCCCATACGAAAAGGCATCCAACTCTCTGCCTCAGGCCCCCCTCCCCTAACCCCAATTCCCTCCACCCCTCCCTCGTTCAACACCATGACCCTGTCCATCTCCCAAAAACCACCACCTCTCCATCCTCCTCCCCCGCCCTCCCCTTCCCCTCTTATTTCTAAACACTAGTGTACACAGGGTTCACTGACAGTCCAGTGAGAGGAGAGACCCAGCGGGGGCCCGCTCCTAAAGCCACATGATTTCTGAATAAATATCTGGTCCATCAGAGTGAGTTATGTGAGAGTGGACTGGTCACATGACTCCAGTTGATTGATGGGCCGTGTCATGTGACAGTTTCTCGGTGGCTCTGGTTTACGTCAGAAACAGAAAGAAAAGCATCCAATAAAAACAGCTCCATCCTTAGATCAAAATGTAGATGAAGAGATTCCTCTGTGGGGGGTCTCTCTCCCCATGGACAGGTCTCTGAACATCTCTCTGGTTTATTCATCTGCTGCCTTTGGGCAAGACACCTCTGAACAATCATTACTGTTCTGGTATGTGGACTCTGGCCCTAAACACCAGGACTCCTGCTGGGACTCTGAGGAGCACAGGGACCGGCCTCCTGCTGGGACTCTGAGGAGCACAGGGACTGGCCTCCTGCTGGGACTCTGAGGAGCACAGGGACTGGCCTCCTGCTGGGACTCTGAGGAGCACAGGGACCGGCCTCCTGCTGGGACTCTGAGGAGCACAGGGACTGGCCTCCTGCTGGGACTCTGAGGAGCACAGGGACTGTCCTCCTGCTGGGACTCTGAGGAGCACAGGGACTGGCCTCCTGCTGGGACTCTGAGGAGCACAGGGACTGGCCTCCTGCTGGGACTCTGAGGAGCACAGGGACTGGCCTCCTGCTGGGACTCTGCGGAGCACAGGGACTGGACTCCTGCTGGGACTCTGCGGAGCACAGGGACTGGACTCCTGCTGGGACTCTGCGGAGCACAGGGACTGGACTCCTGCTGGGACTCTGCGGAGCACAGGGACTGGACTCCTGCTGGGACTCATCTTTCCTCTTTTTAATGAACTGTGATTATTATTGTCAACATTTTCTTCCCCTTCAACAGAAATGTCACATGACCTCAAACACACAGACTGAGACAGACACAGACAGACTGAGACAGACACAGACAGACTGAGACAGACACAGACAGACTGAGACAGACACAGACAGACTGAGACAGACACAGCACAGACACAGAGACAGACAGACTGAGACAGACACAGACAGACTGAGACAGACACAGACAGACTGAGACAGACACAGACAGACTGAGACAGACACAGACAGACTGAGACAGACACAGACAGACTGAGACAGACACAGACAGACTGAGACAGACACAGACAGACTGAGACAGACACAGACAGACTGAGACAGACACAGACAGACTGAGACAGACACAGACAGACTGAGACGAGACTGAGACAGACAGACTGAGACAGACACAGACAGACTGAGACAGACACAGACAGACTGAGACAGACGGCAGACAGACTGAGACAGACGACAGACTGAGACGACACAGACAGACTGAGACAGACACAGACAGACTGACAGACTGAGAGACACAGACAGACTGAGACAGACACAGACAGACTGAGACAGACACAGACAGACTGAGACAGACACAGACAGACTGAGACAGACACAGACAGACTGAGACAGACACAGACAGACTGAGACAGACACAGACAGACTGAGACAGACACAGACAGACTGAGACAGACACAGACAGACTGAGACAGAGAAACAGCTGATGATGAAGATATGACCTGCGACACAATGGAGCCACCTGTCAGATACATGTGCTCCTCACACACTTATGACACACACACACACAGACGGACACTTATGACACAGACACACACACACTTATGACACACACACACACACACACACACACACACTTATGACACACACACACACACACACACTTAGGACAGACACACACTCTATCCCTTTTATCTCACCCCCCTCTCTCTCTGTCTCTATATCTCTCCCCCCCCCCCCCTCCTCCTCCCCCCCTCCCCTCTGTATAAACCCTCAGATACAAACTTCCTCAGTTTAGTGTCTGATCCGTTACAATTGCTTCCTTTGCCAAAAAACTGCAAATGTCAAATTCTTTCAGAATTCACACGGGGACGAGACCATGTGACCTCTGGCCTGGTGTGACCATGTGACCTCTTGTGTTGCCATGGTGACCAGGATCAGCTGCTGTGCGACTGTCCTTGACCGTTGCTCCTCACACCAGGACGGTGCTTCTTAAATAACCCTGATTTCATCTCAGTCTGTTTGTGTTCAGCCCTAAAGCACAGCCGCTAAAGCACAGCCGCTAAAGCACAGCCGCTAAAGCACAGCCACTAAAGCACAGCCGCTGAAGCACAGCCGCTGAAGTTGTGGATTCATGAACAGCAGATCAAAGAATCAAACTGGTTCACACAAAGAAAATACAATAACAAATATATGGGAGCCATAAGTCTATGTAGATTAGATGGTCTCTGTCTCTGGTCTCTCTCTGGTCTCTCTCTGGTCTCTCTCTCTGGTCTCTCTCTCTGGTCTCTCTCTCTGGTCTCTCTCTGGTCTCTCTCTGGTCTCTCTCTCTGGTCTCTGTCTCTGGTCTCTCTCTCTGGTCTCTCTCTCTGGTCTCTCTCTGGTCTCTCTCTCTGGTCTCTCTCTCTGGTCTCTCTCTGGTCTCTCTCTCTGGTCTCTCTCTGGTCTCTCTCTCTGGTCTCTCTCTCTCTGGTCTCTCTCTCTGGTCTCTCTCTGGTCTCTCTCTCTGGTCTCTCTCTCTCTGGTCTCTCTCTCTGGTCTCTCTCTCTGGTCTCTCTCTCTGGTCTCTCTCTCTGGTCTCTCTCTGGTCTCTCTCTCTCTGGTCTCTCTCTCTGGTCTCTCTCTCTGGTCTCTCTCTCTGGTCTCTCTCTCTGGTCTCTCTCTGGTCTCTCTCTCTGGTCTCTCTCTCTGGTCTCTCTCTGGTCTCTCTCTCTGGTCTCTCTCTCTGGTCTCTCTCTCTGGTCTCTCTCTCTGGTCTCTCTCTCTGGTCTCTCTCTCTGGTCTCTCTCTGGTCCATCAATACTTCCCTATTGCATTTCCTTGAGCTAGCTGGTTAGCATTGTCCATCTGTATACAGTCTATGTTAGCATTAGCATCTGTATACAGTCTGTGTTAGCATTAGCATCTGTATACAGTCTATGTTAGCATTAGCATCTGTATACAGTCTGTGTTAGCATTAGCATCTGTATACAGTCTGTGTTAGCATTAGCATCTGTATACAGTCTGTGTTAGCATTAGCATCTGTATACAGTCTGTGTTAGCATTAGCATCTGTATACAGTCTGTGTTAGCATTAGCATCTGTATACAGTCTGTGTTAGCATTAGCATCTGAATACAGTCTGTGTTAGCATTAGCATCTGTATACAGTCTGTGTTAGCATTAGCATCTGTATACAGTCTGTGTTAGCATTAGCATCTGTATACAGTCTGTGTTAGCATTAGCATCTGTATACAGTCAGTGTTAGCATTAGCATCTGTACGTAGCATATTCTCAGTTCAGAGACAAACTGTAGAGAGATGGAATGCACTGAAAGGCGACGGAGCAGGTCATGAGACACCACGTCACGCTGCAGACCCTCCCTCCCCCACCGCGGAGTTTAGCACGACGGGGTCATCAAGATAACTTAACAAATATGAAGAGGAAATTAAAAGATTGAAGGAGATTATAAGAAAGGAGGTAGAGGATCCAAACGTGAGGGAGGACTAACGAGGAGCTAGGACAAAGTGCCGTGAGCCTCCAGCAGACTGTTCTCCACGGTTATGTCACACGTGATTTAAGACGTCACGTTCACACGTGATTTAAGACGTCATGTTCACACGTGATTTAAGACGTCACGTTCACACGTGATTTAAGACGTCATGTTCACACGTGATTTAAGACGTCATGTTCACACGTGATTTAACACGTCATGTTCACACGTGATTTAAGAACGTCACGTTCACACGTGATTTAAGACGTCATGTTCACACGTGATTTAACACGTCATGTTCACACGTGATTTAAGACGTCATGTTCACACGTGATTTAAGACGTCATGTTCACACGTGATTTAACACGTCATGTTCACACGTGATTTAAGACGTCATGTTCACACGTGATTTAAGACGTCATGTTCACACGTGATTTAAGACGTCATGTTCACACGTGATTTAAGACGTCATGTTCACACGTGATTTAACACGTCATGTTCACACGTGATTTAAGACGTCATGTTCACACGTGATTTAAGACGTCATGTTCACACGTGATTTAAGACGTCATGTTCACACGTGATTTAAGACGTCACGTTCACACGTGATTTAAGACGTCACGTTCACACGTGATTTAAGACGTCATGTTCACACGTGATTTAAGACGTCATGTTCACACGTGATTTAACACGTCATGTTCACACGTGATTTAACACGTCATGTTCACACGTGATTTAAGACGTCATGTTCACACGTGATTTAA